AAGACAATAAAGCAGCCATTGAAATATCTAGATCCGATGCCATTGGACAAAGATCCAGGCATATAGATATAAAATTTAAGCATGTGAGACAATTGTCTCAAGATGGATTTATCAAAGCAGTGCATTGTGATACCTCTGAACAATTAGCTGACATATTGACGAAGCCTTTACCTTCTAAACAGCACAAATACTTAACTTCCAAATTGTATGTCTTATATTGTCCTGAATCTGAATGTAATTGGTGTTGTATAGCGAACCGGCATTTAGAGGGGGATTTGTCAGATGTAAATGCCTTATTCCCTAATGTGTAAATAATGTATATATGGGATATCAGGGGTTAACTTATTCTTTGACTCTTAATGTATTCATAATTCACCACTCCCACTCTTGGCTCCACCCTTTGTATATATAAGGAGCCACCTTCACCATTTTCTTTGCTTCTATCTGTGAATATTCAGTGAATATAGAATGCCTATTATAATTAAAGAGAAATATATTTAAACCTCTAAACTCTTATTATTATTATTGAGTCTGATCCTGAAAATATTGCAACAATCCAGCTTTCATCCAGCTGCCTATTATCACTGAAAAAAACATTTTCTTTAACAATTCTAACTTTGTCACAGAAATATTCTTCATGATCTTGCCCAAGTTTGTAATTCTTCCCCTGAATTGATCTCTTTGCTTCTCCATTATATAGTCCACCTTTATCTATTCTTGAGTCTATAAGAAAACAAAACTATTTATACCTTAATATCTTTCCCATTAACTGGGAATGAACCAAGTCTGCAGGTTGACATTCCCTTTGTCATCTTCTTAATTTTTAACATTAACAAAGATTTGTTATTTTCATAATAAGCTTTTCTATGTCTTTGCTATTATTCATTAAAGTGGTGTCATGTATGTTTCTCAAACTTACTTAAAGATCTAGGTGAAACCAAAACCGTGCTTACTATCTTACTTCAGCTTTCCTGTCACTAAATGAGGACTACCTGTATTGTATTAACTGGATAAATTAAACAGATATAGGGCATAATTTATTTTCCTTTTCTTGTTATTTTCCACTATTTGTTGACTTTCCTGAGATATTTTCCTTGCCTGTTTCTTTCCTTGATTGATGTTAAAAGTCTTGAGTCATTTTATGTTCTTTTTGGCCAGGCCTTTCATCCTTCATCGTATGAGCTTTTCTTGAAATTTGGAGAACTTTCTCCTACTTTTTCACAATGCTTAACTCTTCCCATTGTGCTTCAGATTTTTTTATGTATCAGTACTGAATCTCTTCCATTCCCTTCCCTTCCTGTACCACTCAGCTCCCAAGAATCCAGGAATATCCTCCATATGTAATCTTCCTGGCAAATCTACTCTTTAATACTCTAATCTTATCCTTTACATATGAAACAATAATTCATAGTCTGTTCCAAACCTTGCACCTAGAAATGTTTTGGCTGACTAGAATGCAATATCTTCTGTTTTGTATTATGTATTTAAATTTACTCCAAAGTCTGCTGGTAATTTATGATGCTTGAAGCAACTATTGGTAATGAACAATGAACTCTTTTTACAATACCCTATGAACCCAGGATATTTCCCGCCCCCTGAATTACAGCTCTTATATTTGTATCAGCTGAGTAGACAGAACACACTAAATTCTAAGACAGGTTAAGAAAACAAGATTGCTGCCTTTGTGTAAGATGCTATGCCCTCCAAAAATAAAGTACTACGGTATAAGCAATATTGCTTAAATAATGCTCTTACACAACGTAATAAGATAGTGGCTGGTTTACTACAGCTATTTAAAGTAGCCATATACCTCAACCAAGGGTGAAATCCAGCAGGTTCTGGAGAACCGGTAGTGGAAACTTTGAGCAGTTCGGAGAACCGGCAAATACCACCTCTGGCTGGCCTCCAAGTGGAGAGGGAATGGGGATTTTGCAACATCCTTCCTCTGGAGTGGAGTGGGAATGGAGATTTTGCAGTATCCTTCCCCTTCCATGCCCACCAAGCCACATCCACCAAGCCACACCACACCACACCATGCCCACCAAGCCACACAGATCTGGCCTGTGGGGCCACTCTGGAAACAGCGAGGGACTGACCCGCAGTGCCTCTGCCAGCAAAAATGGAACTCATGAGGGCTCTGTTTTCGCTGACAGAGGGTTGCAGGAGGCCGTTGCAGCTGAAAACAGAGCTCACGCAGGCCTCTGAGCTCTGTTTTCGGTGGCAGAGGGTTGCAGGAAGCCATCGCAGCTGAAAACGGAGCTTGGGAGCCTGTTTTTGCTGGGAGAGCGCTCGGGCCACCACAGGCATCCCCAATACAAGTGATGTCAAGATGGCCATGCCCACCCCAGCCGCCTGAGGTCAAACACAACCCTCATGCGGCCTCAATGAAATTGAGTTTGACACCCCTGCTCTATAGCAACTATTACTAAGGACACCTTTTACCTTTGAACATGAAGGTTCCATATTACCATCAGAACTAATTACCTTTACTGTAAACTGTTTGGGAATACTCACTTGCATATTAATTCTCCAGCCAAAAGAATAAACCCAGCATCAAAAAGAATGTCTCATATTTCATATTTAACTTGTGGTCAACAAAGAAAAGAGCCAGTTTGGTGTAGTGGTTAAGGTACCAGGCTACAAACAGGGAAACCATGAGATCTTCTCTCACTTTAAGCACAAAGGCAGCCGAGTGACCTCGGGCCAGTCATTCTCTCTAAGCCCTAGAAAGCAAACAGTGGCAAACCATTCTGAAATCTTGCCAGAAAAACCTGCACAAACTTGCCCAGGCAGTCACCAGGAGCCAACATTTACTCAAAGGCTACACACACCTTTCATACATATTACTGCCAATGCCAGTCTCCCTCATTCTATACTTGTCTTTAGTTTTTCTTTCTCAGATGAAGAACATTGCGTTTTTCCCTGTTAAATTCCATAATCTTTATTTCAATCCAGTGTTCAAATTCTGTTTAGATGTTTCTGAATCTTCCCTCTTTTATCTAAGGCATTAGCAACAGCTGACAGCTTTGTGTCATTTACAAACTTGATAAGCATCCCCTCAGCACCTTTGTCCAAGTCATGGTTAAAAATGTTGAACAGCAGAGCACCTAGGAAAGAGTTCTATGACATTTCCCTCTAACATCTCTGCAAGCTGGAGCCATTATGAAGCATTTTTGTGGTATGGTTACATCAGCCAGCTGTGAGTTCATCTAACACAGTATCATTTAGCCCATATTTTATCATTTTATGAAAGGAGAATATCATGAGGCATTCACTAAAAATGTTAATACGCTATATCTAAATGATTTCTTTGATCTACTGAACTACTAACTTTATTAAAGGAGTTGAGGTTATGATAGTGGGTTGTCCCATTCCATATGATAATCTGCACAATTCATTTGCGACAAATCTATGCTGGGCCTATTAATTGTCACAGATCTATCCAAATCTTAAGAAACATCACCAGTAAAGGAACCAGCAATCAAAAAAGGTGCCACAAATTAGCTCTCGGCAGAATAGCAATGAAGACATTTGAAAGATTTTTAGATGCTGTGATGTGTGACACCTACAAAGTTCAGAATCATGCAGGCAATGGCTTCCCTTAAAATACTCTGTGGCAGAAGTCTCCTGAGATTACCATTGATAATCTGGAAAATGAATATATGGATCCTAGAACAAATCAATACAGAGTGTTCACTTGAGGCACAAATCACCAGGTTAAAATTATCCTATTTTGGTACATTATGAAAAGATCCAGTTCTCTGGAGAAAATTCCAATGCTGGGAAAGATGGAAAGGAGGAGGAGGAGGAGGAGGAGAGGATGACCGGCAGCAAGATGGATGGCCCCAAATACAGTGGAACTGAGTGCACTATTGGACGATGTGAAGGGCCAGTTTGGCGTCCACTGTTTGAAGACCACAATTGAGAAGAGAACTTCCATTGCTAGGCAAGGTGTTTGTTAAGTGAGTTGCACTCAGTTTTAGAATAGCTTTTTGCAATGGTTGTTAAATTAACAGATTAACAGAGTTGGAAGGGACCTTGTAGGTCATCTAGTCCAACCCCCCCACCCCCGCCCAAGCAGGAGACCCTACACCATTTCTGACAAATGGCAGTCCAATCTTTTCTTGAAAGTCTCCGTTGGTTGATTGTTCTCACTGTCAGAAAATTTCTCCTCATTTCCAGGTTTATTTATTTATTTTATTTTATATCCAATTTATATACCGCCCTTCTCCCTGAGGACTCAGGGCAGTGTACAGCCGAATAAAAACATAAAGTACAAACATTAAAATAGTATTAAAAGAATATATATAAATTTGGCCCCGTAATTTAAGAACAATAACAAACCCATTTAAAACATTTAAAGAATTAAGAAAAAAAGTTAAGCCAGCCCGGCTTGCTGAAAAAAGAGGGTTTTAAGGGCACCGTGGAAGGCACCGAGGTCTTGGATTCTCCTAATCTCTGGGGGCAGTTGGTTCCAGAGGGTGGGTGCCCCCACAGAGAAGGCCCTCCCCCTGGAGGGTCACCAGCCTACATTGTTTGGCTGATGGCACCCCGAGGAGGCCCGCTCTGTTGGAGCGCACAGGTCGATGGGAGGCCGTCGGTAGCAGCTTGAATCTCTCCTTGTCCAGTTTCCATCCATTATTCCTTGCCTGGCCTTCAGGTGCTTTGGAAAACAGCTTGACCTCTTCCCTCTCTGTGGCAGCAGCTCCTCAAATATTGGAAGACTGCTATCATGTCTCTCCCCTGGTCCTTCTCTTCACTAGAGCAGCCATGCCCATTACCTTTACTCCAGTCTGCAGCCAAACCACCAAGCTCAGAGAGCACCAAGGACTCCACCGTTCAATCCTGAATTGCACGTATACTCTCTTCTACGGGAACAATGACATCTGCAGCAGCAGCAGCAGCAGCAGCCTCGTTCCTGAAGGGTTAAACCGGCGCCCCCCACCCACCCCACGCCCCCTTTTGCAGAATGCTGCTGAACCAACCTCGCTTGAAAAAGCACCCTCAAAGCACTTGTGCGCCTACAGCGCACGTACCTCTCCTTAAAGGCGGGGTGGCTTTAAACCCAGTTTTTCTTCAGCTCCTTTCTTTTTTTAAATAATAATAATCCAGCATTAGTTCCCCCCCCCCCCCACTTCTCCCCCCTGCATTTGGCCTTAGCCCCGGAGGATGAGTCTCTAAGTCTCTCCTGGGGTCCTTCCCGCGTCTCCTCCGCGTCCTGTTCGTTGCACTCCGAAGCGCCAGTCCAGACTTCGTTCCCCAAAATGTATCTGGTTTTCTTGTGGTGCTCCTGCTGCCTTTGGAGATGTTCCTTCGGGACCGGATTTCTCTATCAGTTCCCGGCATCGACTCTGCAACACAATTATCCCGAGCAGAGCTCCGGGGGACCGGCGGCGGGCAATGCCTTCGCCAATCGTCGGTGAGTAAGCCAGACCCCCTCCGTCGCTGGGAACGGCCCGGCGCCTCTTAAGAACGAATGGCTACCTTAGAGCTAATGGGACCAACAGCCAAGTTGGGGGGGGGGGGGGGGGCTCCGTTTCTGAGGAAGAAAAAAAAAATAGAAGTGGGGTTTTTAATTTTGCCTGCACATTTCTTCGGTCGAGCGGCGAAAGTCGTTGCCCTCCACGCCTCCCTCCTCCTTTTCCAGTCAGTAATGGGATTTTTGGTTTGTGGTTATCCTGGATTGATCCACTATAAGTTACATACATGGACTATTGCAGATTTCCTTCCTTCACTTTTCCCTTGTTTTTTGCTCCTTAAGTTTTGTCTCCCTTTTTATCCCTAGTTTGTATTAATCTTCTTTCTTCAAAAGGAAAAGGTGTGAGGGACTATAAGGGAGAAAGGCCAAGCCATAGTTAGTTAGACTGCACCAAAGGAGATGTGATGCCAGAAAGCCGGACCCAAATTGTTCTGTTTTCAAGTTTCTTTTGTACAGCTTTTCTCTCATTGAATGTGTGAATGCATCTACAGTTAGGTGGTAAGGTTTGCACATAGTGCGCTTCACTAACCCAATTAAAGTCCCAAATGGTTGTTGCATTTGCATAATATATGCAAGCTTTGTTAATTCATAGAGTTCATAGAATAATTTAAACCTTGGTGCTTGGCTTTCATTTTGTATTTTAATTTTAATAATGTTGCTTAGCGAGTTCTGTTTGATTTAGTTAGTGGTTCAGTGTGGACCAGAAAGCATTAGTTCAGTAGCCTACTTAAACTAATTTAGTATTTCAAGCATCAATATTTGTCTGCCAGCTTCGGAACTTGGGGTCATTTTTGAGAACTCAAATGATTGCAGTGCAAGGTGAACCTGCCCTGGAGATTTGCTTCAGGTGTTCTATATTTCATACATTACCAGCAGTGTGAAGAAGAGGGTTTATAAGGTGTTTGCCTATGAATCATGGGTTTTTGCTTTTCTACCATCATCCTATATAGTCCCAAAGGTGCTTTTTCAGGAGGCAACTGGACTTTCTTGTTTTTTCTTCAAAGACATTTTGCTTCTCATCCAAAGAAGCTTCTTCAGTTCTGACAGGATAGTGGGGACTCTACGGACTTTTAGCTATACAGTTTGGGATGAACACCCTTTGAATGGTGTGGGAGTAGGAATGGATTTCCAGAGGAAAAGAAAAAGAAAAAAAAATTGCTGACTACAGGAACCAGGGGCACTACTCAGGTGACCCTGAGGACACAGATAAACCTCCAAGTACTTCAAGGACCTTCTAAAAGGATGCAAATTACCAGCTGTCTGCAAAGAATATAAATCCTTCCATCCCCCACTATCCTGTTAGAGCTGAAGAAGCTTCTTGGATGAGAAACGAAACGTCTTCAAAAGAAAAAACAAGAAAGTCCAGTTGCCTCCTAAAAAAGCACCTTTGGGACAACCATGACCTGGATGACTGAGAATCTCTGCAGACTATCATCCTATATACTTGGCTGCATACATAATCAGGTCTGTGCTCCTATGAAGTTTAAAATCTAAAAGCAGACAAAAAGGACGTTGAGGGAGAAGTAGAAGTACGTTCTACAAAGGTTGGTTGCAACTGAGGTGCAGTCATTTCACGCTAGTGATTAGTAATGTCCTCATAGCATCATCCAGCCATCTTTGAAGTCTGACCACATTGCTATTCTTCTGGGAGAGTGATGGTTGGATGACACCAGAAAATATTGTGAATTGCTAACCAAGTGCCATAAAAAAGCCAAGTGCCATATAAAAAAGAAGCATTTTGAGAAGGGATTTGAAGTAGCGGAAATGGAGATAGCCTATGCATGTCAAAGGGCAGTCCCAGGGAATTTGCTGTAAGTAACCTGGATCCCCACCATGGCAATCATGGATACCCACCTTGGAAGCCATTAGGCTACATGCTTCACATGCTTTCATTTCATTAGTTTTAGATTATTGTAATTAAAAACATAAAATGGGACTAAATCTCTGCACAGCAGAGGTTTAGTTACAGGCATACCATTTTCTGGAATTTTTTTGAGTTTGCATATACTTCAGATATATTCCTAGAGAGCCAGAGTTATAAGAAATTGCAGTCTAATGTTTTGTATGGATGTGTGTCCATTAACTCAGAAAAAAAGATCCAGAGATGTTTATATTAATTATTTATTTATGGAAATTGCCAATGGTGGCTCCCTTGGCCGAGAAACAGAGATGAGCACCGTGCCCCAGAGTCAGACACGACTGACAGGGGAAAAAATCTTTACCTTTTTTATTTATTAAACACATGTAAATCAGAGGTGGGTTTCAGGAGGTTCTGACCAGTTCTGGAGAACCGGCAGTGGAAACTTTGAGTTCAGAAAACAGGTAGTAAAAATGCTGACTGGCCTCGCCCCCATCTATTCTCTGCCTCCCAAGACCCAGCTGATTGGGAGGAAATGGGGATTTTGCAGTAACTTTCCTCTGGAGTGGGGAGCGAATGGAGATTTTACAGTACCCTTCCCCTGCCACACCTACCAAGCCACGCCCACCAAGCAATGCCACGCCCACCAAGCCACGCCCACAGAACCGGTAGTAAAAATTTTTGAAACCCACCACTGATGTATATGCCCATCCAATTCACATATGGTAACTTCAAGATATAGTGAAGTATCTTCCAGAAAAGCTAGAGTAAGCGATGAGGACCAACCTCACCATTTTGCCTTCTGGAAAAGTGACTGGATTGGCAATCTGGCAGTCGTTTTGTGAGAGCCACAGCATGCTTTTAAATTCTGAATGTATCTGCTAGCCTAAAAGGATAAGGAATGTTAACATTGCAAGCCACCCAGGGTCACTTTGTGGTTGAGGTGGGCAGCAGATAAATTTAATAAACAAACTTCTCTGTGTCATTCTTCTAGATTTGTCCCTGCTGAGAACAACTTGCTACTTGTAGCATTGTAATGTTCAAGATGCAGAAACTTAATTTAACAGAATAATAGAGCTTGAAGGGACCTTGGAGGTCTACTAGTCCAACCCTCTGCTGAAGCAGGAAGCCCTATACCCGTGGTGGCGAACCTATGGCATGTGTGCCACAGGTGGCATATGTAGCCATATCAGTGGGCACGCGAGCTCAGCACCAGCTCATTTTCGGGCCTTCTGGGCCCACCAGAAGTAGGGAAACAGGTTGTTTCTGCCTCCGGAGGGCCTCGGTGGTGGGGTGGGTGGGGAAGGCCCTTTTTTTGCTGTCCCCAGCCTCCAGAGCCTCTCTAGAGTCTGGGGAGGTTGAAAACGGCCTTCCCCATCCCCCCAGAGGTCCTCCGGAGGCCGAAAATGGCCCATTGGCAAACAGGCCATTTCTGGCCTCCAGGGGGATGGAGAAGGCCGTTTTTGCCCTCCTGAGACTCCTAGAGAGGCTCTGAAGCCAGGTGAGAGAGAAAAACAGGCCTATCAGGCCATTGCGTGCCAGGAGCGGGGTGAGGGGGGGTCGTGTACGCATGCACAGGGGGAGGGCTCACAGAATTATGGGTGTGGGCACGGACGCGCGTGACCCCCCTCCCCCCCCTCCTGGCACGCGATGGCAAAAAGGTTAGCCATCACTGTCCTATATCATTTCAGAAAACTGGCTGTCCAGGCTCTGTCCAGAGCTATGGTGGCTCAATGGTTAGAATGCAATACTGCAGGCTGTTTCTGCTGACTGCTGGTTGCCTGCAATTTGGTAGTTCAAATCTCACCAGGCACAAGGATGAGTCAGCCTTCCATCCTTCTGAGGTTGGTAAAATGAGAACACAAATTGTTGGGGACAATATGCTGACTCTGTAAACCGCTTAGAGAGGGTTGGAAAGTACTGAAGTGGTACCGTGTTTCCCTGAAAATAAGACCCTGTCTTATATTTTTTTGAACCCTGAAATAAGCACGTGGCCTTATTTTTGGGGAGGTCTTATTATTTTGGGGCCTGTGGAGCAAGACGTCTTACCTGATTTCTAGTTCTGTCTCCCTAACCCTAACCAAAGGAAATGGCGGGGACTGGCTGCGCATGCATTTAAATATTTTCGGGAAGGGTTTATTTTCAGGGAAGGGCTTATTTTTGGGAAAACCCAGTATATAAGTCTAAGTGCTATTGCTATTGAATTTCAATCTGATATTGTGTCAGGCCTGGAAGCCATCTTTTGCATTGGGCTTTCAGGCCTGCCACACTTCCTACTGTGGAAAGCTGGGAGGGGGGGATTGTATGGAGCATGACTGATATATAGTCATAATATTCTTTTCTCAGAGAGTCAAGGACATCTTGCCCTGCACCTGGAGGGTTGGAATTGGGAGGCCTCTGTAGTTGGGACGGTGCTTTGATTGGGCCATGTGATGGACTTGTGGGTGTTGGGCAGGGACCTGGACTTTCCTATGGGCGGGGAAAACCTAGAAGCTTTCAGATTTGGGTTTTCACAGATGTACCAATATGACATTTCTAATAAAATGGAACTTTGAGGAATTTCAAGCCTCAGAGTCTTCTTTCGTTGGGGGTGTTACTTGGAACCCTGACATATTGAGGATTTGTTTTTTGGAATAAACCAAATAGAAGCAGATCCATAGCTCTTTCTAAGTGCAACATCTCTGTTTCTGAGTTCCTTTTCATTACTGAGTTGAGTGATGCTCTAGAGAAGATCTCTGTGTGGTCTTGGGGAGAATCAAAGATCCAGAACTTCCTGTCATCCATAGAAGCAACTGAAAATGAATAAATAATGGTTGTAGCATCCAGTTAGAGAATTATACCCCATTAAAGCAGAAAGCAAACGTAGATGTACCCAATTCTAATTAGAATTCAGATAAAAAGTAATCTAATGCTTATTATTTTAAAACTAATTTGATGTCCTCCAAAATTACAGGACTTCAAGTACTTTTGACAGTGTTGTCCGGAGGTTATAGAAGATGAGGTCCAATATATGTAAAGGACAACAAATTGAGGCAGGATCATTTCCAAGAGACAGGGTCTTTCAGAAAGAGTAGGCTTTCAA